GCTTGGCCTGCTGTGTTCATCCAGCTCTACACCTTGTTAGCTCAGATTCTCCAGCACCTGCAGTTCCTACTATCTCTGATACAAGACTAATTGGATATCTCCTTTGAAGAGCTGGCATAGACGCAGTGGGCTAAATGGCCTCCTTCTCCAATGGCTCTTCAAGAGATCAGCAGCTATGCCCAGGTAAGAATGGCAGAGATTGAACATGCTATTCCAGACCGTACAATGTTTGTGTAGCACTAGGCAGTGCCATTGGTTATCAGGACAGATACCTGTTCTACACTGAAGATATAATTAAATGTGTTTCTAAATTCCCATTCTGAACTCATGCAAAACTTTATCCTACTTTGCACCCAGGCCAATTTACTCATCTCTGTGCTTGTTGATCTACACCGTCTCCCAGTCAAGTTACTTAATTTTAAACTCCTCAGCTTGGTTCTTATACTCCCTCCTATGACCTTGTCCCTTCTTATCTCTGCAACATCTGTCAGTCCTACAACACTCAGATTTCTGCAATCCTTTTATGTCCCCCCAAATCCTTCACCGTCACCATTGGTAGCCATGCTTTCTGTTGCCTGACTCCAAGCTTTGAAATTCCCTCCTTAAACCTCTCCACCTTTCTCTCCTCTTCTAAGAGATTCCTTAACACTTCACCACTTAGATAAGCTTTTGGGGACCAGTCCTAATCTTGCCTTCCTGTTTCAGTGTTTGACTTTGCCGGATAGTATTCCTGTAAAACACCTTGGAATACTTGGTTAAAATAAAAGGCGCTGCGTAAATGCACGCTGATGTTTTAAGAGAGCAAAAGAGCACAGACATACTGGGCAGATGGGGTTAACCCCCAAGAAATAGCATATGCTTATTGGCAACAGAAAAAAAAACCTTCTATTTGCCTCCAACATAAGCAGGAGAACCAGAATGCAGGAAAATAGATTGAAAAATGTTTGAACTATTATTAGCAAAAATATGAAGTTAGGAGAGAGATTAAAAATTGAAATAAATAAAGAGAAATCAGACTGAAACAAAGATCCATCTGAAGCTCATAAAATGCGAGAAACACTCAGCCAGAATTTATTGGGAGAAACAAAGTTAATGCTTCAGATTGATCATGGCTTTACATAGATGCTGCTGACCTTCCGAGTGGTTTCCAGCAATAATTGGTTTTTCTCTCAGATTTTCAGTCTTTGTAATATTTTGCTTTTATCTTTAGGACACTATTCTAATGAAGTTCCTCTGAACAACTGAGCATTGTTATTACAGAGAGATTAAGGTTTGTTTCTGCATCACAGTATACAGCCCAGGGAGCTGCAAGTTTCCTTTCCTCTTGCAGTACATAGGCTCAGCTGACCGCACACATTATTTCAGTTCATAACTTTCTGCCAGCACTCACCTTTTATATCTCTGTGCACAATCATGTTACTGTGCAGGTAAGAAACACCTTCCAGGATCTGACGAGTGTACCTGCGAGTCACGTTCTCTGTAAGAGCACCATAGGCCTTCAGCTGGTCTTTTATTGAACCCTACAGAAGAATATTGTAATCCAATCACTTGTAAATTCCCTCCAGATACTGTTTTCACAGATTACTTAAACAGCGGTGTAGTGGTAATCTCATACGTCTGGCAATCAGACAAATGCTCAGGGGACATGGGTTCAGAAATCACCATGGTAGATGGTAGAATTTAAATTCAACGAATAAATCTGGAATTGAAAGCTACTTTCTGTGAATGGTGACTGTTAAACCCAAATGGTTCAGTAATCTTCCTTTAGGGAAGGGAACCTGCAGCCCTCATCTGGCCTGGCCTACATGTGACTCCAGAACCAGTGCAATGCAGTTGACTCTCAACTGTCCGCTTCAATGGCTGAGCAATTATTTCAGCACAGCAGTGATTCAGGATGACCAACAAATACTGATGTTGCCAGCAACAAAATACATGCCATAAAGTCATAAACAGATAACTTATTTTAGAATTACCACTTCAAGGTCTCCTGAATATTCAAATTTTTGGACTGGAAAATTATGCTTGTAGCTGTGATATCCCTTTACAAGTTAGCAAGGTCCAGTTGAAATACTGGGCAGACTAACTGCATGATAGGGGTTTTGATTTTTGCAAACAGAGTAAACTCGTTCTACCTGAGGTTTATAGGTTTAACAGTAGGGTGCTATCTTTTATAATAAGAGCCTTTTTTCAGTGTAATGTTATTTTGTTTTACCATGAGCTACCTCCAGCTTATATGTTAGAAAGCAGCACCTGAACAAAACAGCATGTTTTTTTTATTCAACATCTCTTTGAAACAAAAAATAATTTTACTGTTTTCTCCTCCTTTAAAACTTACAAAGAATCAAAAATATCTATTTCCTAAACTGACAAGGATCCCAAGACTGACCTTTGGCTTTATGGCTGTAAATACCTGCTAAACAGAAAACTTCTCATTTACAAGAAGTCTGGTGTGCTGTTTTTGATGCTCATTTTCCATTTAGCCTCACTAATCGATTATTCATGGTCTCCATACATTATACTTATGACTACGTTGTAAGTCCTGATGTCAACTTGCCAGGCACCAAGAACAACTGTACATGCACTCTCAGCCCCAATCAAAAGCACCGGGAACAAAGCTTCCTACACTAAACATTTATTTTCCCAGGGAAATCTGCAAAACTTGAGAGGTCTCTGTATTTGCATTTATCAGCAATTTACAATAGTTCAAAACTGCTTCTCCATCTTTATTTCTGGTGTCTGATAATTTAGTAACCTGTGTGGAGATACATTTATTGACAGTAATGGATGAAGTCAATCCAAATTTGCAGCCTGGATCTGTTAATAGCTTTTGAACTGAATCATCCAGGGCCGTGGCTTTGAAAAACCTTGGAAAAATTTACAAGTCACTAAGTGTTTTGCAGTAAGACAGAATTCTGACAGATGCAGATCCTGAAAATATACATTGTTTAGAAAAGAATGATGAATCACAGCCTACCATTAACAATGATAGTTAAATGCCTGCAAAGAACCAAGTAAATTTAATGAGAACAAGAACGTTTTTGTTTTAATATTCATTCAAGAGACATGGGCATCGCTGGCTGGGGCAGCATTTATTGTCCGTCCTAGTTGTCCTTTGAGAAGGTGGTGGAGAGTTGCCTTCTTGAATCGCTGCAGTCCACGTGCTGTAGGTTGACCCATAATGCCCTTAGGGAGGGAATTTCAGGATTTTGACCCAGCGATAATGAAAGAACAGTGATACATTCCCCATGGTACACCAATGGGGTCATCCATCTCAGGACTCACTGCAGAAGCAGTCATGCAAAGACTAGAACACACCACCCTCACCTGCATTCAACCTAAACTGTGGATCAGTACGTAGACAACACATTTGTCATTATTAAACACAACAAATTAGAAGAGACCCACCACCTCATCAACAGCGTATTCGGAGGGATTAAATTCACAAAGTAAGAAGAAAACAAAAATTACCTTCCGTTTCTGGACGTTAGAGTTGAGCGTATGACCAACGGTGAGTTCCAAACCTCAGTATACAGAAAAGCAACCCATACAGATCAAATCCTCAGCTTCCACAGCAACCACCCCAACGTCCACAAACAAAGCTGCATTAGGACACTATTTAAACAGGCCAGGACACACTGTAACACTCCAGAACTACGCCAGAAAGAGGAAGAACACTTATACAAGATCCTCACTTTAAAACGGATATCCCCGCAATTTCATCTGCAGATGCCTACTAAACAGGCAACAACAGGAGGACACGGTACACCATAACACACTGGCCACACTGCCCTACATCAAGAACATATCGGAACTGACAAGACTCCCAAGACCACTAGGAATCATGGTGGCCCACAGCCACTCTACCACAAACACAAGGATTAAAAACCCCATTCCCACAACATGCAGAATGAATGTGGTTTACAAAATACCGTGCAACGACTGCCACAAACATTACATAGGACAGACAGGAAGGAAACTGGCCATCAGAATACATGAACATCAACCGGCAGCAAAACGGCACAACAAAACTCTCCTTAATATCGGTACATTCAGACAATGAAGGCTATCAGTTTAACTGGGACAAGGTAACCATAGTAGCCCAAGCCAAACATAGACACGGACGGGAATTCCTACAGGCATGGTTCCCCACCCGTAATGCAATCAACAAACATATAGAATTGGACCCCGTATACAAACCCACACAGATCAAAACTGGAAATGTCACTACTCACCATAACAGACCGGGCAGTATAAATTCCAAGAATAACATGGTTTCATCGGAGGCTCCACTGATGATGTCACCTAGCATGGTGACGAAACGTCTGAACGAGAACAAGCCAGTTCGGCGAGCAAGTCAACAACCTCATCCATAACCCGAGCTACAGATCTTTGTCAGAACTTTAGATACATTTCCGAGTCAGCGTGGTGAGTGGCTTGGAGGGGAACTTGCAGGGGTGGAGGTTCCCTGTATCTGCTGCCCTTGTCTTTCTAGATGGGTTGTGGGTTTGGAAGGTGCTGTCTGAGGATTTTTGGTGAATTTCTGCAGTGCATTTTGTGGACAGTACACACTGCCATTACCGAGTGTCAGCTACGGAGGGAGTGGATGTTTGTGGATGCGGTGTTAATCAAACTGTGGTGTCACTGATTGCATCTACAAACGCGTGCTGTCCCGATGAGTGGTGATAATAAATGCAGCCTTTTTGCGAACATGAAATCTTACTGTACATTTCCTGAACACTTCAGAACCATAATTTTTGATCAGACACATCCTAGCTTCAACATTTCCCTTTAAGAAATTCTGCTTTTCCAAGTATTCTCAAGAAGTCTTTGTCCACCAGTTCAAGTAATCATTAACTGATTGTCCTGGAGTTTTCAAGCCATGTACCAAATAACAGAATTAGGGAAGACACACTATGATAATGAATATCCAGGATTTTGTTTAAGCTTACCCCTGGCATATACTCCATAAAGATAGAAAGAGTTCTCTCTTGAGGGTCTCTCAAACAGCCATAATACTGGACAATCCTTTCATGGTGCAGATTCTTTAATAACTGGATCTCACACTCAAGAGCATTCACCTCCTGAAAATAAGGAAAAATCAGACAGTTAGAAAATACAATGCACGCAATACACAGAAAGGCTTTTAATATGAATACATAATCGTAATCAAAAGGCCACTGCTGATAGGGCCTCCCATCTCAGTGCAATTTCTCCTCCACTGACACATGCCCCACCTTTCAGTAGGTCTCCTCCCATCAACACACACTCCTACAACCAAACCCACGCCCCACAAACACCCCTACCGTCAGCACAGCCCTCCACACCTCAACTTCTGTCAATGTGGCCCCCATGTCTCACCCTCCAACGATACAGACCCCACACACTTCTCCCTCCGTCAATGTGGCACCCCTACACCCAGCGCCCTAACACTCCGTCAACACAGCTCCCCAACTCTCCCCTTCCACGAACACTGCTCCCCAATTCTCCCATTGATCCATTACCACTTGCATTGTCTCATGCAGCCACCCAGTAATAGTGCCCATGCCTTCTCAACATGCAATGCAATAATCTCACCTTGCTGGTCTCAGGACTGTCTGGGTCGAACTGAACTTGTTTCACTGCCAGTTCTCTTGCTGTGTCAGCATCATAACACAAATAGACCCTGCCAAATGCCCCTTGGCCCAGCAGCTTGCCCAGTCTCCAATTTGTCGGCGCCCTTGGAGCTACAAAACATGAAGCCAATTTTAGAAAATGAGAAAGGAGAAATGTGAACTTTCCACCCTCACATGTCTGAGTAGTCTAAGTTCTCGCAGCACCAAACACATGCCAAAAATGCAGCCACTTTAGCTGATCTTTGAGTTGCCCTGCTGAGTATCTCTTGCTGTGACAATGTACATACCACAAGACTCTCCTGACGGCACACTGAGTAAGGGGATTATCCAATGTTCCTTTTAAAATATGTTTGGTCACGGAAAGTGGCATTGCTGATAACTGAGACATTTATTACTCATTTCCAATTGCCCTCGTGAAGGCAGTTGAACTGCTGCAGTCCCTGTGGCTTATGTATAGCTACACTGCCAGAGGGTAGTGAATTCAGGCTTTGGACCTGTGACAACAAATAAATGGTGAGACAGATCAGAGCCTGACTTGGAAGTAAAAGTAACAGCTGATCTGGCACAAGCCCTTTTAGGGCTAAGTCTCTCTGGTGAAGCTGATAATTACTGCAAACACAGGGTTTGAAAGGACTGGAATTCATGCTTCTGATCACAACCTATGTTCATACAAAGATAAAATTAGGAGCAGGAATAGGTCATTTGGTCCCTCAAACCTGCTTCACCTGTAAGATCACACCTGATCTGTTTGTGGTTAGAATTCTACACCTACACCAATAGATTCAGATTCTTTCACATCTACACCGATAAAGATTCTTGTTAGGCAGGCTGTCAGACTAACTACCTCATTCAGAATATTCAATGACCCTACCTCCAATGTTTCCTTAAACAGAGATTTCCAAAATCACAACCCACTGAGAGAAAAGACTTCTGAACTCTGGCATAAAAGGGCGATCCCTCATTTTGGACTTGCTTATAAGAGAAATCGTCTTTCCCACATCCACCTTGTGAAGACACTTCAGGGTCTTATACACTTTAACCAAGTCACCCCTCACTCTTCTAAATTCCAGTGAAACAAGTCCAGACTGCCTGAGCTATCCTCATAAAAAAAACCAATGAAGCAAACCTCCTCTGAACAACCACCATTTATATTTGTCCCTAAATAATGAGACAAAAACTGCACACCATATTCAAGATGGATAGGAAAGGTTTAGAGAGATGGTAGCCAAATGCAGGCAAATGGAATTAGCTCAGTTTAGGAAACCTGGTCGGGATGGACAAGTTGGGCCAAAGGGCCTGTTTCTGTGCTGTGTGACTCTATATGGTCTCAACATTAATTTGTATAACTGAAGTATGAAAGCCTCACTTTTATGTTCATATCCCTCATAATAAAGGATAGCATCCCATTAGCTTTCCTAGTTATTTGTTGTACCTATATACTCGTTTCTGTGATTTATGAACTAGATCCCCCTGTACATTGGAATTCTGCAGTCATTCTCTGTTTAAGTAATACTGTTTCTTGCTGCTCCTTCCAGAGAGAACAACTTGGCATTTTCCTGCCCTGTACTCCATCTGCCAAATTTTTGCCCAGTCATTCAACCCATCAAAATGCATCTGCAACCTCATGTCCTCCACACAACATACTTTTCTAACTCTGCTTGTGTCACTTGCATATTTAAATATGATGCCATCACTTCCTTCATCTAAGTCATTAAAGCAGATTGTAAGAAGTTCAGATGTAGTGCAATCCGGCAACAATGAATCAGCAGCCTATTTCCATCGATATTGCAATAGGAGTTGGTGATTGCCTCCCTATTAGCAGCTTCACACGACTCTTACAACTCTTTGGAAAAAGTGGAGAAATTTTAATTCAAATCACCTGCAGAGCCAACACTGGAGATCTTTCGAACACCAGTCTGTTGCCTCCTTAATGAGTTCAATGGAACAACGGTTACATTACTGGATCAGTAATCCAGTGGAGACAGGTTCAAGTCTCACCACACCAGCTTCAGAATTTAAGCTCATTGGGTCTATCACAAAAAATGCTTCACAGCCAATGAAATATTTTTGAATGCATTCACTGCAGAGTAAAGATGTGTATAACATGTTAACATTAAATTTAGCACCAAGCACTGCTTAGCAGTACAGTCAAGAGCAGAGATGAAGCTTGATACACACCCAATTGTTCAGTGTCAGTATTAGAGTGCAGTGCCATAATCCGCACAACTTCATAGGCCACAGCTTGAACTCTGGAATCACAATAAGCCTCGTCTCATGGGGCATTCTACACCACCCTCCCCAACCCTCCCACCAAGCATGAGTTGAACCTTACAACGGCTGGGGGGGCTGATGTCCATGACGGACAGTGTTGGATTGTCGATGTCACTTCCCCTTCTTCTCATCCTGCTGTCCTCATACTCCGGGGTGAAAATACTGCTCCCGCTGCTGGTGCTCAGGGAATGCTCAGTGGGACTGAAGTTGACGGGTGAGCGGAAAGTGTTTCCATGAGTTCTTCTTGCCCTGGGGAATGTTTTACGACCTGCAGAGAGGGGCAAACACAAAAGCCCTGATATTAAGTATGGTGCAAACAGTCCGCTCCAGCAAGGCAGAACTGTGTTGCAAGATGTGCTTTCCAGAAGCTGATGGCAGGGTATATGTTGTGGAGTAGACACTACTGGTTCAGCCCTGACAGCACCAAGGATATGAAGGTCTGTCAGTCCGCTAAGGATACTGTCTGCAATGACTCTCAGGTAAGAAGTTGGAAGTACACAGATTCAGGTGCATAGATTCAGGAGACAGCACAAATTGACAAATATGGGGAAAGGAGAAGTAACATAAGACAAATGAAAAACCAAAGAGCTGTGGATGCTGGAAATCATAAACAAAAACAGAAATTACCGGGAAAATTCTGCAGGTCTGACAGGAGAGAAAGCGGAGTTAATTTTTCGTGTCCAGTGACCCTTCTTCCAAAATGACACATCTGTAAGATTAGGGCCACAGCTGTAAGGCTGAGGACTGGACACGTTGTGAGGTTAAGCTTGCTTTAAAAGCAGCAACACTGATCTGAGAGGGATCAATGGTGATAATGGGTGCCTTTAACGATGAGTGTCCCAAAGGCATGTTCAGAGAAATTTGAAAAAGAAACTCATGCACTGCTAATGTGCAGAAGGCCAATCATCATCTCAAAGAGATAGGCAGGCCAGTTCCCCCTTCCAATACTCAGTGTATACATCCAGATTTTCAACTTCAAATATTTGTTAAGAGGCTTGAAAATGCAGTAACCACCAAAAGCAAGTTGGGGGTAAATCTGAATTGCTGCCACAGCAGAATTAGTAAACAAAGCAGACTATGAATCCGGAATTAAGCGTGTGCAATTAGTAGACCTAGGGTTCAGTCCAAGGATTAAGGAGGGTTAGAAAGAGAGTTTTGGAAATAGCTGGCCAGCCTATCCCCAGAATTGGAAACAAATGTTGAATAAGGGGAGGGAGGAGTCAGAGATAGACTAGGTGAAGGTGAGAACAGGGAGGAAATAAGAGGCAAAATAGATAAACTTTTCCGATTCCGGACGAGAGAGGAAGCAGTGCCGATGCTGTCATCAATGAATTGGAGAAGGAGTTGTGGAGATGGACCAGAGTAGGACTGGAACGAGAAATGTTTCACATATCCCACAAAAAGACAGGCATAAATGGGGCCCATGTGAGTACCTATAGCCATGCCTTTGATCTGAAAAATGTGAGGGGAGTTAAAGGAGAAGTTGTGCAGAGTGAGAACGAGATCTGCCAGGCAGAGGAGGAAGGTGGAGGATGGGGATGGTTCAGGCTTTTTTTTCCCCCGTGAAGAAGTGGAAAGCCCTGAGACCATCCTGGTAGGGAATGGACATAGAAAGGGAGTGCACATACACGATGAAGAGGCAGCAGCTGGAGCCCGCAAACTGGATATTCTGAAACTGAAGTAAAGCGTCAGAAGAATCTCAGATCCAAGTGGGAAGGAACTGGATAAGGGGAGAAGAGAAAAAAAATTGAGTCATGGTAGGGCTTTAACCATTCCTTCGTCTGCGCAACTGGTTTTCTCTCTCTCTGGGCTCCATCTCCATCTATTATCCACTCCTCCTCCTCCTCCTCCTCTTCCCCACCCCATCTTCAGCAAATATACCAACCTTTTCCTAGCTAAAATCAGTTCTGAAGAAGGGTCATTGGACATGATACATTAACTCTGCTTTCTCTCCACAGATGCTGCCAGACCTGTTGAGTTTTCCCAGCAATTTCTGCTTTTGCGTTAGAAATAGAGTTGCTGCTTCAGATTGCTAGTCAGTGACTCCATGTTGGAGACTGCATGATGGGGACTCGAATGGATCCAGCAATGATGCCACACACAATGGCAGAAAATGCAAGGAACACTGGTTGGGCCAGCACTATAAGAATGACTCGCCCGAGATACTGGAAAGATTGCAGCTTATGGTAACAGACACCAGCAGAGATCACTTCCTGCTGGGGAGGGGAAAAGAATTGGCAATGAGAAATACCACAACACAGAACCAAGATAAAACACCCCACATTCAGTAACAAACAACAAGCAAGCAACTAATGTGTTAAATACTCAATTCAGAATCAAACAAAATGGGCAGTTGGTGTTTAACAACAGCAATCAAGGGGCTCTAAACCTGGGGAATAGGCCAATGCTCACCGTCACTGTAGTCATGGTGATGGTAGGAGATGTGATACCTTCGTGGATATGTCCCACCTTTCCCAATTTTCTCAAACGTTGGAATATCATAATCTGCAAGGAGAAACATTGGTCTGATTTTATTCAGAAATCAAAAGCTAATCTGCATTGAATTTTGCAGCACAGAAGCAGACATGCAGTCAACCAGGATCCTGCTGGATTATCTTCATATTTCACGTCATCTCACCAAACAGCATGTTCTTCATTTTAATTCACACTTGTGTTTAGTTAATCTCCCCTTAGTTACAGCTATACTGTTCTTAACCACACCATGTATGTATTAAGTTTCTCCTGAAACAAAGTCAGAAACTGCTGGAGAAACTCCGCAGGTCTGGCAGCATCTGTGGACAGAAAGCAGAGTCAGCTACTGGCTCCCAAGCGCTAACTTTGCTTTCTCTCCTCAGATACTGCCAGACCTGCGGAGTTTCTAAAGCAATTTCTGCTTTGTTTTATATCTCCAACACCTGCAGTTCTTTGTTCTTAAGTTTTTCCTGAACTCCTTTTTAGAAATATTCTCATCTATGTTCCACTAACGGGTTCCAGATTTGGACAATTCCACAAAGAGACATCTTCTCCACCTCTACACTATAAATCCCTTTCCTAATCTTACAGACCATCTCACCTTCAACGTTCTGTCTTCTATAGAAAAGGGTATCAGCCTGCTCAAACTTTCCTAGTTTTCAAACAAAAATCATGCATGGGTTGTGGGTAACGCTAACTATGCCAGCATTTGTTGTCAGAACCTTATTGAGCTGGAGACGGTGGTGGTGACCTGCCTTCTTGAACCACTGCAGTCCATGTGCTGTCGGGTGACCCACAATGCTGTTTGGAGGGAGTTCCAGGATTTTGACCAAGGAACAGTGATATATTTCCAACTCAGGATGGTGAGTGGCTTGGAGACGAACTTGTAGGTGGTCATGTTCCCATGTACCTACTGCCCTTGTCCTTCTGATGAAGGTGCTGTCTGAGGAGTCTTATTGTGTTGCAACAGTGCATCTTATAGATGGTACACTTTGCTGACACTGTGCATCAGTGTTGGATGGAGTGAATGCTGAAGCTGCCAGATGGGGTGCCAATCTAGTGGGATGTTCTGTCCTGGATGGTGTTGAACTTGCATGTCGATGGAGCAGCACCTAAGCAAGTGGCACATATTCCATCACACTCCTGACTTGTAGATGGTTGAACAGACTTTGGAAACACTGGAGAGGAGTTACTCGCATAATTCCCAGTCTCTGGCCTGTAGCCAGTGTATTTATATGGCTGGTCCAGTTCAGTTTCCGGTCAACGGCAACTTCCATGTGCTAATGCTGGGAGATTCAGCAATCGTAACACTACTGAATGTCAGGGGAAGACTGTTAGATTCTCTCTTGTTGGAAATGGTCATTGCTTGGTACTTGTGTAGTGCAAATGAAACTTGCCACTTACTGGCCTGGATGTTGTCCAGAGCTCTCTGCTTATGCACACTGACTGTTTCAGTATCTGAAGAATTGGGAATGGTGCTGAACATTGCACAGTCACGAGTGAACATCCCCACTTCTGAGCTTATGTTGGAGGGAAGGTCATTGATGAAGCAGCTGAAAATGGTTGGGCCTAGGGCACTAGCCTGAGGAATTCCTGCAGAGATGTCCTGGAGCTGAGGGGGTTGGCCATTAAGAATGAGAAATATCTACTTTTGCGATAGAAACGACTCCAATTGGTGGAAAATTATCCACCCAAGTCCCACTGACTCCAGATTTGCTCGTGCTCCATGATGCTACACTTGGTCAAGTGCTGTATTATAGAAACAAAAAAGGGACAGGAGCAGGCCATTCAGCCCCTTGAACCTATTCCGCCATTCAATCTGATCATGGCTGATTTAATCCTTAGAACTATACCTAACACCTACTTGAAAACATTCAATGTTTCAGCCTTAACCACTTGCTGTGGCAGAGAATTCCACAAGCTCCCCACTCTCAGGCAGAAGACACTTCTCCTCATCTTAGTCTTACATGGCCTACCCCATTTCCTTAGACTATGGCCCCTGGTTCTGGACTCTCCAGTCATCGGATACGTCCTTCCTGCCTTTACACTGTCTAGTCCTGTTAGAACTTTAATAGGTTTCCATGAAATATTGTCTCATTCTTCTAAACACGAATGAATATACAGCTGTCCTAAATGATCCAGTATCATTTTAGTTATGTGGAAATCAAAATTACATTCAGTATGTATTCTTGAATGCGAATCTACAACAAAGCCAAATAACCTCAGGTCTACAGGATGAGGAATTATACTCCATTCAAAAATGACACAATCTATAAAATCTTAACTAATGGAAAGAGGTAGACAGCATTCCAAAACTAGCCTTACATATACGTGAACCAAACAACACATTTTTAGCAGAATAACTTAGGCCAACAGTAACGTGGTAGTAACACAACTGGACTAGCAATCCAGTTAATGCACTGGGGACACAGCAACTGGAAATCAAATTCAATTAATAAAATGTGAAGTTGACAGTTCATCTCAGATGGTGACGATGAAGCTATTTTTGATTGCTGTAAAAATCCATCTGACTCACCGGTGTACTTTAGGGAGGGAAATTTGCTGTCCTTACCTGCTCTGGCCTACATGACTCCAGACCCACAGCAATGTGGTTGGCTCGTGGCTGCCCTCTGAAATGGTCTTACAAGTCACTCCTTTCAAGGATCATTAGGTATGAAAAGCAGCTGCTAGTCTTGCTAGTCACACCCATATCCCATGAAAAATAAATAAAAAACAAACCTGAAGGGAATTCATGGAAGCATTAATAAAGCAAAAGTAGACATTAACCCACCTAAAGCGATATTTGGATAGATGTGTCACTGTTCAAACATAAGGTGTCACTCAGTTAAGACAGAAATGAGGAAAAATCTTTGCTTATGGAGAGTATGAATCTTTGGAACTCTCTTCCTCAAAAGTTGACAGAGTCCTTGACTATTTGTAAGGCAGAGGTAAATATATTCTTGATAAGCAAAAGGGTGAAAAGTTATCAGGAATAGACATGAACATACAGTAATCAGATTCAGCTGTGAGCTTACTGAATGGCAGAATAGGATCGAGAGGTGTACAGACCCAGGCAGCTGAAGGTTCAAAGCTCACCTGAATAATCTTGATGATTATCTGGATAGCTCTGTGCCCTGGGCATCCAAGATTTAGGATAGCTATCACTGCAAAGTAAAATAAAGTGTTAGGTCTATGATGTCCAGTGAATAAAGTGTGGACTTTATATCACTAAAAATATCATACAGTTAAATATCAAAAATATTTTAAAAATGAATGTTTCGTAATACTTTTGGCATACTTGCCCATTCATCTTAAACAATAATTCAAAACGATACAATAGACGCAGCCTGACACCACTGACGAAAGCAGGGCTTCATTATCTCCTAAATCCACAGACCATATTGAATCACACTACTACCATTGATTTTTACAATGTGGAGGTGCCGGCGTTGGACTGGGATGGACAAGGTCAGAAGTCACATGACACCAGGTTATAGTCCAACACGTTTATTTGAAATCACAAGCTTTCAAAGTGCTGCTGAAGGAGCCAACTGACAGAGGAGCAACGCTCCGAAAGCTTGTGATTTCAAATAAGTCACTTGGACCATAGCCTGGTGTCATGTGACTTCTGACATTGAATTTTATAGTACAACAGGCGGCCATCACGGCTCTCCAAAGTCTTTCATAGAATCATAGAATCCCTACCGTGTGGAAACAGGCCCTTCGGCCCAACAAGCCCACACCCACCCTCACAGAAAGCCACCCAGGCCCGTCCCCCTGCAACCCACCTCATCTACACATCCCTGGACACTACAGGGCAATTTAGCACGGCCAATCCACCCTAATCTGCACGTCTTTGGACTGTGGGAGGAAACCGGAGCACCCGGAGGAAACCCACACAGACACAGGGAAAATGTGCAAACTCCACACAGACGGTCGCCCAAGAGTGGAATCGAACCCGGGTCCCTGGCACTGTGAGGCAGCAGTGCTAACCACTGAGCCAAAGTCATCCTGCTTTCCCTCTTCTGTCCCACAGCCCTGCAAAGCTTTTCTTCCCCTTTTTAACTATTTTCAGTCCAATTTATTTTGCAAAGTTCCCTTTCAGGCAGCATATCCCAGATCACAACTCAATGAGTAAATAAACCTCAACTCCCCTCTGGTTCTGAAGCTAATTGTCTTAAATCTGGTTACACCTGTGCCTGCCACTGAAACTAGTTGCTCCCTACATACTTGACCAAAATCCCCTATAATTTTTAACATGCCTGTTATATCTCCTCTTAATCTTTTCTGCTCACAGGCAACAATTTCAGTTCCTCCAACAACTCTATGTCACTGAAGTCCCACATTCCTCTGTGTGTTTATCCTGCCCCATTTTCTGCACGCCACTCTCAAAAGCTCCATTTCCAATCTGGGTTTTGGCCTAAGCATTAAGTCTTTGGCCAAGTATCTAATTTCCACACAGCAAACCAAGTTGAGAGTCCATAGGCTTGTGTTACACAGACAAGTCCCAGTGAACCCTCTTGCATTCTCCATTGTCACTGGTTCAGCAACAAGAATATTAGCTCATCTCTCTTCCCTTTAACCCAGTAACACTTCACAGCACTCCAAGTATGATCACAATGATGAATAACTCATCATAGGCTAAAGACCAAATCAAATAATTCATGTCCCATTATCATGGCAACTGGAGTCTGCTGTGGTCTCTGATGCTAACCACTTCAGGTCAATGCACAGCTCCTGCACAGGCTGATTTACATCCAAACTGAGATTAAAACATTTAATTGTTGAGAAAGGTGAAGGCTGAATGCCTCCAGTACAACTTCCACTTGAGGAAAAGAAGAGATAAATCATAAAATGAAAATGCCATTTCCCTTTGAGGAACCCTCAACCATGAGTACAGGAACTCTTGCAGCCTCACAATTATAAATAAACTCATCATGGTGAAGGTGCAATAGAGTTTCCATTTTCCTATTGCCTGGTCCTGTTACTCCAGTTGATGGATATAATAGGAATGTTTAATGACTTTAAGATAAACACATGAACATGCAAGTAATGGAGGGATACAGACTAAGGGTAGGCAGAAGAGATTAGTTTAATTTGGCATCATGTTCGGCACAACATCGTGGGCTGAAGGGCCCATCCCTGCGTTGTTCAGTTCCATGTGCTTTGCTGCTTCTAGGATATTACCAAACACAAATTTGTGATTGTATTTCCTACATTACGACAGTAACCACACTTCTAAAGAATCTAGTTGGCTGTAAAGTGCTTTGTGATGTCAGATCTTGTAAAAAGCACTACATAAATGCAAGTTAGCTTTATTTTTTCTCTGTGCTCATGCTTTGTCATAAAACGTACATTGCCCCTCATACATTGGGAGCATGGAGCAATCAATTGTGTACAGTTCTGGTTACCACACTACCAGAAGGATGTGGATGCTTTGGAAAGGATACAGAAACGGTTTACCAGAATGTTGCCCAATATGGGGGATTTTGGGTTATTTTCACTGGAACACAGGAGGTTGTGGGGCGACCTGATAGAAGTTCATAAGATTGTGAATGGCATGGATAGAGTGGAAAGTATGAGCCTGTTTTGCAGAGTGGAGGGGTCAATTACTAAAGGACACAGGTGCAGGTGGGGGTGGGGAGTTTAAAAGAGATGTGCGAGGCAAATTTTTCACACAAAGGGTGGTGAGTGCCTGGAATACACCGTCAAAGATGTGGAAGCATTGGAAAAGGTGCAAAGGAGATTTACTAAAATGTTGCCTGGAATGGAGGGAAGGTCTTACGAGGAAAGGTTGAGAGAGCTAGGGCTTTTCACTTTACAAGGACGAATGATGAGAGGTGACTTGATAGAGGTGTACAAAATGATCAGAGATATACTTAGAGCGGACAGCCAGAGACTTTTTCCTAGGGTGGAGGAAGCTATTAGAAGGGGACATAGTTGTAAAGTGAGTGGAGGTAGATATAGGGGAGACGTCTGAGGTAGGTTCTTTACTCAGAGCGCGGTCGGGGCGTGGAATGCATTGCCGGAGAGGGTGGTGGAGTCGGCCTCATTAGGGGCATTTAAGCGGCTATTAGATAGGCATATGGATGATAGTATAAGGTAGGGATGGAGGTTAGATAAACCTTAGGTTTAGGGTAAAGGTTCAGCACAACGTCGTGGGCCGAAGGGCCTGTACTGTGCTGTACTGTTCTATGTTCTAAAGGTGGGGGAGGAAGCAGACACCATAGCAGCTTTCAAGAAGCACTTGGATGAATATATGAATAGGAAGAAGGGAATAGAGGGATACGGATCCTGTAAGTGAAGACAGTTTTAATATGGAAGGGCCAAATATGTCAGTACAGGCTTAGAGGGCCTGTTCCTGCACTGTACTGTTCTTTGTTCAATCAGATCAGCCATGATCTTACTGAGTCATCTTTTTGTCTGCTCCTAACTCCAAAGTTTGGAAGTATTCCTGGCAAGTATTCAAGCATGAGCCTGTTCTGTTCTCCCTCTCCATCCGCAACGCATCCAAGAGTCTGACTAAGAAAGCAACTAGTTACTTTGCTGGAAGACATTTAAGACTGTGTAAAATATGATGTGGAGTTGCATCTGTTTTCAGAATGAAGTCAACATCATTGCAATAACTACATTTGTACAACACTTATAACATAGTCCAATTTTCCAAGTTACTTTACATGACTAGCAGGATTTGGTATGAGGTGGGATGACTTTACCTGTCTAAGGGACTGTCCAGAGATGGACAACTCCCTGATGCTGAATTCTCAGGGCTGCTCATCGACAGTGGGTCCAACATCTATCAAACAAACAATTACAAGTCAAACAAGATACCTTTGCTTGAAAAGGTAGAAAGGTAAGAAACATGTGCGGCAAGAAAGAAATGAGTTTGCAATGTGAGGCATCACTATTCAGGAATGGAGAAATCTGTTAGTAGTCGATGGACAAATACACCAGGTGGCCCAAATCTCAAACTAACACAGATGGGAATAGTTTCCTCATACCTGAAAAATCAAGGATCTTAGGAACAGAATTCAGCTAGTTGAACCAGTGACATCACTTTCTCCTCTGTGGCAGCTTTATCTTTTTAATTTTAACTATCCATCCTTTGCCACATCCGGTAATATCCTCACTTCGCAATGAAAATTGTTCATAAGAACATAAGAGCTAGGAGCAGGAGTAGGCCGTCTGGCCCCTTGAGCCTGCCCCACCATTTAATAAGATCATGGCTGATCTTTTTGAGACTCAGCTCCACTTACCCACCCGCACACCATAACCCTTAATTCCTTTACTGTTCAAAAATTTATCTAGCCTTGCCTTAAAAACATTCAGCGAGGTAGCTTCAACCGCTTCACTGGGCAGGGAATTCCACAGATTCACAACCCTTTGGGTGAAGAAGTTCCTCCTGACCTCAGTCCTGCATCTGTTTCCCTTTATTTTGAGGCTATGCCCCCTAGTTCTAGTTTCACCTGCTAGCGGAAACAACCTCCCTGCCTCCACCTTATCTATTCCCTTCATAATCTTATATGTTTCTATAAGATCTCCCCTCACTCTTCTGAATTCCAATGAGTATAATCCCAGCCCACTCAGTCTCTCCTCATAATCCAACCCTCTCAACTCTGGAATCAACCAAGTAAATCTCCTCTGCACCCCCTCCGTGCTAGTATATCCCTTCTCAAGTAAGGAGACCAAAACTGCACACAGTACTCCAGGTGTGGCCTCACCAGGACCCTATACAGCTGCAGCATAGCCTCCCTGTTTTTAAACTCCATCCCTCGAGCAATGGCAGACAAAATTCCATTTGCCTTTTTAATTACCCACTGCACCTGCAATCCTACTTTTAGCGAATCAGACACAAGGACACCCAAGTCCCTCTGCACAGCAGCGTGCTGCAATTTTTTACCATTTAAAACATAGTCCATTTTGCTGTTATTCCTACCAAAATGGATGACCTCACACTTATCAACATTGTACTCCATCTGCCAGACCTTTGCCCACTCGCTTAGACTATCTATATCCCTCTGCAGACTTTCAGTGTCTTCTGCACACTTCGTTCTACCACTCATCTTAGTGTCATCTGCAAATTTTGACACACCACACTTAGTCCCCAACTCCAAATCATCCATGTAAATTGTAAACAATTGCAGTCCCAACACTGATCCCTGAGGCACACCACTAGCCACCGACCGCCAACCAGAAAAACACCCATTTACCCCTACTCTTTGCTTTCTACTCACCAACCAATCCTTTATCCATGCCAATACATTACCTGTAATACTGTGCAACTTTATCTTATGTAGCAGCCTTTGGTGTGGCACCTTGTCAAATGCCTTCTGGAAATCCAGATATACCACATCCACAGGTTCCCCATTGTCCACCATGCATGTCCTCAAAGAATTCCACCAAATTAGTTAAACATTACGTACCCTTCATGAACCCATGCTGGGTGTTCCCAATGGGAGAATTTATATCCAGATGTCTTGCTATTTCTTCCTTAATGATAGATTCAAGCATTTTCCCCACTACCGAAGTTAAGCTAACTGGCCTATAGTTACCTGCTTTTTGTCTACTTCCTTTTTTAAACAGTGGCATCACATTGGCTGTTTTCCAATCTGCGGGAACCACCCCAGAGTCCAGTGAATTTTGGTACATAATTACTAGTGCATTTGCTATTTCCATCACCTCTTTTAGTACCCTGGGATGCATTTCATCAGGGCCAGGAGACTTGTCTACCTTTAGCCCCATTAGCTTGCCCAGCACTGCCTCCTTAGTGGTTCCAGGTTCTTGCACTCCCCATACTCTCTCAGTGCCGTGTGTGAAACAGTTTCATCTGGGTTTACTTTTAACCAGGGTTGGATTTTAACATTCTATTCCTATTCTGAATTCCCTTGGCCAAGGGAAAATTCGTCACCTGTTTACCTTGTGAACTATTTTCATTCTTTTGCAAGTGTCTCAGTTGGATCTTCCCTCAGTCTGCATAGAATTCCATCCAAATGTAAGCAGTCTCTTATCAGACTAAATCCCCTTCATCCGACGAATTACAAATATACATATATGGTGAGGCCCTTCCCATATCGCAGACAGTGAGCTGGTGTATTACTATCATTAGATAAAGCACAGATAGAGGGATCCTTACTTGGTCCATGCTTTCGGGAATGAATTCGCCTTCACTGTTGATGCTAGTATAGGATCCATTTCGTGCCACCTGCTGCTGCCCATCTGGAATGTACCCAGGTGGCGGTGAGCTCCGATCGGATGTATGCGAAACTGAACAAAATGCAGAGGATTCACAGTTAACACAAACCAATCCCACAAAACAAAGCATGATCCTTTTCTGATGAAGGGTCTAGGCCCGAAACGTCAGCCTTTCTGCTCCTATGATGCTGCTTGGCCTGCTGTGTTCATCCAGCCCTGCACCTTGTTATCCATGATCCTTACAATGCCCAGTTATCAACCATAGTGTGAAACATTAAAGTCAATGACAAAGGAAGCATCTGTTTCAAAGAGAGGTGATGGAAACGTGATGGGGGAACAGAGATTTACTGTAAAGACTGCACTTTCATGAGACCATCTGCCCTTGCCCAGAAGACAGTAGGAATTCCAGCCTGTCCCTGGAAGAACAATAGCTGCATACTTTCTGAATTAAACAATAACTAACTTCATGAGGGTTGGGCTTGGGACTGAAATAGAATCTATCAAATCTTAACATATCAGGATCCCATTAACCCCAGGACGAAGAGAGAGTATGGTGGTGAGATTGTGACAGTCTAATAGAAAACTTTTGATCCAAACAATGTTTCTGATTCTGGGTGGAAACACTTAAAGTCTTCCTCAGAAGTTGAATTTATCTTAATTACAGGAAAATGTTATTCATTCATGGGATGTGGACATCATTGGAAGGTTCAGCATTCATTGCCCATCTTGAAATGCCTTTGAGAAGGTGGTGGTGAGCAGCCTTCTTGAACCACTGTAGTCCATTTGGTGCAGTTAGAGCCACAATGTTGTTAGGGAGAGAATTCCAGGATATTGACCCAGAGACACTGAAGGAACAGCAATATATTTCCAAGTCAGGGCAGCGAGTGGTTTGGAGGGGAACTAGCAGGGAGTGGTGTTCCCATGCATCTGCTGCCTTCTAGAAGGCAATGGTAATGAGTTTCGAAGGTGCTTTCTCAGCAGCCTTGCAAAATTTCAGCAATGCATTTTGTAGATGGTACACACTGCTGCTTCTAAGCACTGGTGGTGGTGAAGGGAGTGAATGATTGTGATGCGTTGCCAGTCAAACAGGCTGCTTTGCCCTGCATGGTGTCAAGCTTCCCGAGTGTCGTTGGAGTTGCACCCATCTAAGCAAATGGGGACTGTCCCATCACACTCCTTATTTGTGCCTTGTAGATGGAGGGCAGGCTTTGGGGAGTCAGAAGGTGAATTACACACTGCAGTATTCCAAGCCTCTGATCTGCTCTTGTGGACCCGTGTTTATATGGCAAACCCAGTTCAGTTTCTGGTCAATGATATCCCCCCAGGATATTGAAGCCATCACGGAATCCATCGGCAATGTTTGGAGATGGTTATTACCTAGCATTTATGTGGTATGAACATTATTTGCTATTTTTCAGCCCAAGCTTTGATGTTATCCAGGTATTTCTGTACTTGGACATGAACTCCTTCAGGATCTACAGAGTCACATGATGCTGAACATCATGCAGTTCTCAGTGAACATCCCCACTTCTGATCTCATGATAGAAAGATGGTCATTGATGAAGCAGCTAAAGGAAAACTCCTGCAGAGAAATCCTGAAGTTGGGCTGACTGACCTTCAACAACCATAACCATCTCCCTGTAGGCTATGTACACGGGGAAGCGATGGCGTAGTGGTATTATCGCTAGACTATTAATCCAGAGACTCAGCTAATTCCATTCCGTCACTCATTCTAACCTATCTGCCCCCGATTGCACTCCTTGCTCTCAGATCCAATCCTAACTTTGTAATTCTCTGGCAAGATAGCACTGGAGCATGGCAACTTTTTGCATGTTGTCACCTTACACCAATTATAATTGTTCTATCTTTTTAAATCTCAATTTTAAGCCTGTCAGAATTACTCTTTCTCTGCACCTTCTCTGTAGCTGTAACATTATATTCTGCATTCTGTTCTATTACTGTGACATACTTATGTTAGGTATGATTTGCCCGAATTACATGTCAAACAATATTTTTCACTGTATCTCAGTACATGTGACAATAATAAAATCAAATCAAATCTAGCCTGCCGACAAGGGTGATGCTACATACCAGCTCTCGGATACCTCCACCTAGACCATGACACCACTATGGAACACCAACTATTGCGTCCACAACGATCACAATAAATTTCATATCACCTGTTGATCTGCCTGCCACTGCTTCTAAGCTTATAGTTCCCCAAGCCTGCACAGCCTGCTTCTATCTCCTTCCGAGGTCGACATGGCCCTCAGCTCTGGCCGACCTACCTCCTGCACTTCAAACTTCACTCCATCTTCCTTCCCACAACAGCAGTAGCGACCCCTCATCCTCACCAGCCAGCCCACCAGAATCCACATTCAAAGAATCAGTAGCTGCCATTTCCATTCCCTCTAGCAGGATGACACCACCAGACACATACACTCCTCCTTTCATGTGTCAGCTTTCCGCAGGGACCATTCCCTTTGGGACACCCTGGTCCACTCCTCCTCCATTCTCAACACCTCCCCAAACTCCCACAATAAATTGCCATGCAATCACAGAAGGTGTAAAACGTGCCATTTACTTCCTCCCTCCACAGTAGCCAAGACTTTGACACACCGTCCAGGTGAAGCAGCGATTCACCTGCACCTTACTTAATCTAGACTGCCGTACTCGCTGCTCACAATGTGGTCTGTTCTATATTGGGGAAACAAAATGCAGACTGGGCAACCACTTCACAGAATATCTAAATGCTGTGTGCAAAAATGACCCAGAGCTTCCTGTTGTCTGTCATTTCAAAACACCACCATGTACCCTATCCGATATCTCTGTCTCAGGCTTGCTGCAGTGCTCCAGTGAAGCTCAGAGCAAACTGGAAGAGCAGCATTTCATTTTCTGCTTGGGAACCCTGCAACTTCCTGGACTCAATACAGAGTTCAACAATCTTAGGGCCAAGCACCTTCTCCTATGTCCTTAACCCAATCCCCACATACCAGGCCTTATCATCACATGGACTTCTACCACAAACAAGTCATTGTCATCCAGTAACGGTCATTCTCAAAGGCTGCCCTGTACCCATGCCTTTGTCTGCTCAATTGTTTTTCTCTCTCTCTGGGCTTCACCTCCACCTATCATTTACTCCTTCCTCCTTCCCCCCTTCTGATTATATACCAGCCTTTTCCTAGCTACAATCAGTTCTGAAGAAGGGTCACTGAACCAAAATATAAACTCTGTTTTCTCTTCACAGGTGCTGCCAGACCTGCTGAGTTTTTCCAGCAATTTCTGTTTTTGTTTTTGATTTCCAGCACCTGCTGGTCTTTGGCTTTTTTTATACTCAGTTTGTGTTTTGGGGATGCAGGTTCAAATCCTGCCATGGCAAATGGTGGAATTTGAATTCAATAAAGAATCTGGAATTAGGGATCTAATGATGACAAAACCATTGTCAATTGTTCAAAAAACCCATCTGATTCACTAAAGGCCTTTAAAAAAGAAAATTTGCTGTCCTTATCTAGTCTGGCCTACATGTGACTCCAGACCCACAGCGATGTGACTGACTCTTAACTGCCCTTGGGACAATAAATGCTGGCTTAGCCAGAGATGCCCACATCCCCTGAGTGAAGAAAATAAAAGTATGACTTTCCCAAATTCCCACTGATTCCAGTTTTGCTAAGGCTCCTGATGCCACACTCAGTTGAATGTCACGTTGATGTCAAGGGCTGTCCCTCTCACCTCACCTCAGGAATTCAGCTCTTTTATCTATATTTGTACCAAGGCTGCAATGAGGGTGGGAACGGAGTTCGCTGGTGGAACCCAAACTGGGTGTCAGCGAGCAGATATTTCCTGAGTAAATACTTAAATCTAAACCTTAGAATATCATTGAGCACTTTAAGAACTGCAGACATTGTTGCGCAGAAAGGGAAATAAGAGAATAGGGCATCAGAAATCCAGAATTCTTCAGCAAGGGTATCATGGGATTTAGAACTAAGATTGGGTCAGGATTGCGAAAAGAGACAGCAGGATATACATAGGCTGAGACACGACCAATTCTCACTGATCTCAATTCACACAGACAAAGAAGGATAAAAATTCAACTGGGACAACACATCCATAATAGCACAAGCCAAACAGAGACATGCCAGAGAATTCCTGGAGTCCTGGCATTCTAACTGGAACTCCATCAACAAACACATTGAACTGGACCCGATATATAAACCACTGAGAAACAGAACCTGAATTGATGTCAACCACCGCAGCAAACCATGGCATATAAGTAACAAGCGGGACAGAACACTAACGCTTCACCGGAGATGCACTGACGATGTTACCTAGCAGGGTGATGAAACATCTGCAATCAAACACACCAGCTCGGCGAGTAAGTCTACAACCTCATCCACAACCCGAACTATAAATCTTCCTAAAAACTTTATATAGCATGCTTTCCTTCATCGTTCGGGACACAAAGCATAAAAATTGGCAAGTCACATTGCAGCTGTATGGATCTTTAGTTTGGCCACATTTGGAATACTGCATATAGTTCTGGCTGCCACACTAACAGAAGGATGTAGAGGCTTTAAAGAGAGTACAGAAACAGTTTACCAGGATGTTGCCTGGTTTGGAGGCTATTAGCTTTGAGGAGAGATTGGAAAAACTTGGTTTGTTTTCACTTGAACGTCAGAGGCTGAGGGGGATTTCTTGCCCCCAGAACATTAGCCTGGGTTTCTGAATCACCACTCCAGTGACATTACCATAAAATTAATTAATCTGTTAAGTAAATATCAGAATTGAATACAAAAAGGTCAAGGAGACAGAAAAGTGAATAGAGATAAGGGAATGGGATTTGGCTTTGGCCAGAGATTTTGCACCAGTCCAGCTACGATGGACTGAATCACTTCCTGAGCTGGGTACTTACAAACCAGAGCTTACCTATCAATGACAGCTTGTTTTTCCTCTCCGCACCTACAAAGACTGAGCCATTGTCCAAATCATCCAGCGTTTGTAATGCCTCCACATTGCTGAGGTTTGTTACCTAGGCAACACAGAAAATCAAAGTTAAAAATATAGACAAATCAAAACATTAAAAATAATCAACAGACGTATATTGTACAAAGAGGCATCCCAGGCAACACAGACACTTAACATTGCCAATATGGTCTGTCTAGATCCAACAATTTTGCAAAACAACCACATCATGGTTTGAATGTACCAATGATGCACTCAAGGTTACATGTCAGTCCAAAGGAATGGGATATGTTCCATTTCAGAGTTTTGGAGGAGGTAGAAGCACAAATCCCGAGATGGGACTGCACTTCACCTCTCTGTACTAACTAGGCTGTCCAATGGTGAAAATGAGAAACAAGAGTTTTACTGAGATTTTACCAAAATTACTTCACACTGGGTGGAGACTGTCCAAACTCACCTCACACAGGACATTTTAGTCAAGGGATACTCTCAACACTTGCATACTTCCACCAGGTATCGCAGCCCTGATCTAAACAGCGCACAATAAAGTTCTGTCTACTTTCAGAATTTCAGCCACCACAGAATCAAACTAATGTTCTCCCGTTATTCTGAGTTATGCTAAGCAAAATTAAGAATTCTTGTAGATTCAAGGCATTATGGATTTTTCATATATTCATACAGTGCAGAAAAGCCCCTTGGTCCACTGACATTACCATCAGTAGTGCGCTAATCCCAATTTCCTGCATTTGTCCCTTATCCTTGAATGTTATGATATTTGAAATGCTCCTCCAACTATTTTGTTAAAGGTTGTAAGGTTTCCGGCCTCCACTACCTTCACAGGCTCTGCATTCCCACCATCTGCTGTGTGAAAAGGACTTTTCCCCAAATCCCCTATGAATCTCCTGCCCCTTATCTGAAAACTATGTCCCCATGTGAATGACCCCTCAACCAAGGGGAACAGCTGCTTTCTATTCACCCTGTCCATCTCTCCAATCTTATATACGTCAATCTTTGTATCCTCTTTGGCCACAGGTGAGGTCCCAGAGTACTGGAGAATAGTTAATATTGCCCTACTGTTTACGAAGGGTAGCAGGGACAATCCTGGAAATTACAAGCCTGCCAGTCTCACGGCGCCAGTAGGGAACTTATTGGAAAAGATTCTCAGGACAAGATCTACACACATTTAGAAGTGATAGGCAGCATGGTTTTGTGGGGGGAGCTTTTGTCTCACTAACTTGATCGAGCAGATGACAAGGATGATTGATGAGGAAAAAGCAGTGGATGTTGCCTACATGGACTTCAGTAAAGCCTTTGACAAGGTCCGTCAGGGCAGACTGGTATAAAAGGTGAAGTCACATGGTATCAGGAATGAGCTGGCAGGATGGATACAGAACTGGCTTAGTCATAGAAGACAAAGAGTAGCGGCAGAAGGATACTTTTCAGAATGGAGGGTTGTTACTAGTGGTGTTTCACAGGGATCAGTGCGAGGACCTCTGCTGTTTTGATTTACATAAATAATTTGGAGAAAAATGTAGTTGGTCTAATTAGTTAGGTCGTGGATGATACAAAGATTGGTGAAGTTGTGGATAGTGAGGAGGATTGTCAGAGGATATAGATCAGTTGGAGGCAGGAGCAGAAAAATGGCAGATGGAGTTTAATCCAGACAAATGTGAGGTGATGTATTTTGTACAGGTGGAAATTACACGGTGAATGGCAGAATCCTTAGCAGTATTGATATGCAGAGGGATCTAGGTGTGCAGGTTCACAGATTGCTGAAAGTGGCAATGCAGAAAGATAAGGCAGTAAAAAAGGCCTATGGCATGCTTGCCTTAATTGGATGGGTCATTGAGTACAAGAGTAGACAAGTTATGCTACAGCTTTATCAAACTTCAGTTAGGCCAAACTTGGAATATTATGTACAGTTCCGGTTACCACACTACCAGAAGGATGTGGATGCTTCACAGAGGGTACAGAAAAGGTTTACCAGGACGTTGCCTGGTATGGGGGATTTTAGCTAGGAACAAAGATTGGATAGACTGGGTTTGTTTTCACTGGAAAGCAGGAGATTGAGGGGCGACCTAATAGAAATTTAAAAGATTGTGAATGGCGTGGATAGAGTGGAAAGTATGAAGCTTTCTCCCCAGGGTGGAGGGGTCAATTACTAGGTGACACAGGTTCAAGGTACGAGGGGGTAAGTTTAAAACAGATGTGCGAGGCACGTTTTTCACAAAAAGAGTGATGAGTGCCTGGAATGCATTGCCAGAGGAGGTGGTGGAAGCAGACACAATAGCAGCATTCACAAAGCACCTGGATGAATAAGAACAGAATAGAGGGATACGGATCCTGTAAGTGAAGTCACTTTCAGTATGGAAGGGCAAAATGTGTCGGTGCGGGCTTGGAGGGTCGAAGGGCCTGTTCCTGTTCTGTAGTATTCTTTATTGTCTGTTTTTATTCTTTTATCACCTGCCACAGAGCAGGTTTCTCTCCTCACATACCTTACAGCCACAGACAGCAACCAAGGCCAAAATTGAAAGAATAATATCTAATCCAATGATCTCTTCCTGCACAGTTGTTCAAAATGCCAAGATGCTGCATTGGGGTGATATTGTAAGTGCCAACACCAAAGGCACAATTTAACTACATTTGAGCTGCAGCAAGCTCACTACCGAGACCAAAATTTCTATTCTGAAGCATAGGAGCAAGAGCAGGCTATTTGGCCCCTCGAGCCTGCTCTGCCTTTCTAGATCATGGATGATCACTGGCCTCAATACCATTTTTGCGCACTATCCCCATATCTAGAACATCAATCTCTGTCTTGAATCCACTCAGTGAATGAGCTTCCATACCCCTTTGGGTCAAAATGCCAAACATTTACCACCATCCGTGTAAAGACATTCCTCATAATCTCAGTTCGAACTGGCCTGCCCAATTCTGTGACTACCCTCCTGGTTTGAGGCTGACCAGATAGCGGAACCACCTTTTCTACATCAATTCATGAAACTCAAAAGAATGCGGCGAGGCCAGTCTCTTAAATCTCTCTGCACAGGAAATTCCCTCCACCCCAGGAATTAATTTGTTGAACTGCTATTGAATTCCCTCACTGGCAAAGTGTTATCATCTCAGCTGGCTCATAGCAGAAAGGTCACATCCCACAGTGAAACCTGGCTTGATAGGCCATAATTTTATTTCTGCAATTTGTTTACCATGGCACTTAGTCACTGTACACATTGGCAAGAGACTATCAATGAACTTTTAAGAGCAGAACAAAGTTTATTACATACAAAAGGGAAAGAAAAGAAATATTTTACACCGTACAAGAACAATTCAAAAGTCTTATTACATGTATCAAATTGAAAGATTCAACCCTTCTATTCTCAATGACAAGCTGACAAATACTCAAAACGTGGCACTGCTGCCTCACAGTGCCAAGAATCCGGGTTCAATTCGACCCTCAGGTGACTGTGTGGAGTTTGCACATTCTCCCCGTGTCTGCATAGGTTTCCTCCAGGTGCTCCGGTTTCCTCCCACAGTCCAAAGATGTGCAGGTTAAGTGTGGTTTCCTCCTACAGTCCAAAAATGGCCACACTAAATTGCCCATATAGTGTTCAGAGATGTGTAAATTAGGTGGGCTATAGAGGGATGGGCCTGGGTGGGATGTCTGAGGGTCAGTGTGGACTTGTTGGGCCGAAGGGTCTGTTTCCACACTGTAGGGATTCTATGATCTAAGTGAACAGTCACCCTGATACCATTTTAAAGTTCTTGTTCAGTGGTCATGGCTGTAATTGAGATTTTTTTCCGGAAACTTGTATAGTCAGTCAATGTTTTTTCTACATCTCTTCCTCAGATTCTTAAACCGCTCATACAGCTCACTTATTTCTTAACATCAGTTCTTTAAACTTCTATTCTACAACCTTCTGTTTCTGGCGCTTTTCTCTTATTTGCTTTAAATCACTTAAAATTTCTTTTCTTCTTCTGCGACTATTTTGGAGACAGCAAAACTACACTGCCCCTGTTATAGAGATAGTAGGAACTGCAGATGCTGGAGAATCCGAGATAACAAGGTGTAGAGCTGGATGAACACAGCAGGCCAAGCAGCATCAGAGGAGCAGGAAAGCTGACGTTTCGG